AAAAATCTGATGGTTCGGGGTGTGCCAGACCTCTGGGCTCCTGTATCCCCGATCAGTCATACAGGCGGATACTTCAATAGTTACACCCTGGGTGGGAAACGATGGCAAAGTGTATTTCCACTTTTGCAGCCAAATTAGGACAACACCTACTTTACATTTGTTACATATTCCCGTACACACAGCATACATTTAAAAAAATAAAGATAAAAAAATAAATTAAAAAAATATATAAATTTAAAAAAAAAAAAAAATATATATATATATTATATATATATATATACATATATATGTGTGTGTGGGTGTGGGTGTATATATATATATATATATATATATATATATATACAGTTGCAAGAAAAAGTATGTGAACCCCTTGGGATTACGTGGAGTTTTGCAGGAATTATCATAAAATGTGCTCTGAACGTCATCTAAATCACAAAAATAGAAGAACACAGTCTGCTGAACATAATATACACAAACATTAGATGTTGCCATGGTTTAATTGCACATAACATGTAAACATTCACAGTGCAGGGAGGAAAAAGTATGTGAACCTTTGGACTTAATAACTGGTTTGACCCTCCTTTGGCAGCAATAACCTCAACCAAACGTTTCTGTAGTTGCAGATCAGACCTGCACAACGATCTGGAGTCATTTTGGACCACTCCTCTTCAAAACTGTTTCAGTGTAGCAATATTCTTGGGATGTCTGGTGTGAATCGCTCTCTTAAGGTCATGCCACAGCATTTCAATCGGGTTGAGGTCCTCTGACTGGGCCACTCCAGAAGGAGTATTTGTGCTGTTGCAGCCATTGTTTTGTTGAATTACTTGTATGCTTTGGGTCATTGTCCTGTTGCATCACCCATCCTCTGCAGAGCTTCAGTTGGTGGACAGATGGTCTACCCTGCAAAACTTGATAAACTCTGGAATTCATTTTCCCATCAATGACAACAATCCGTCCAGGCCCTGAGGCAGCAAAGCAGCCCCAAACCATGATGCTCCTCCGCCATGTTTCACAGTGGGGATGAGGTTTTGATGTTGGTGTGCTGTGCCTTTTTTTCTCCACACATAGTGTTGTGTGTTTTTCTTCCCAAACAACTCAATCTTGGTTTCATCTGTCCACAGTATATTTTGCCAGTAGTGCTGTGCAACATCCAGGTGCTCTTTTGCAAACTTCAAACGTGCTGCAATATTCTTTTTGGACAGCAATGGCTTCCTCGGTGGTGTCCTCCCTATTCCATTCTTGTTTAATGTTTTTCCTTTTGTAATGTGTCAACAAAAATGTTAGCATGTGCCAGAGATTTCTGTAGGTCTTTAGTGACACTCTGGGATTCTTCTTTACCTCATGTAGCATTCTGCGCTGTGCTCTTGCAGTCATTTTTACAGGACGACCACGCCTAGGGAGAGTAGCAACAGTGCTAAACTTTCTCCATTTGTAGATAGTCTGTCTTACCGTATGAACATCAAGGCTTTTGGAGATACTTTTGTAACCCTTTCCAGCTTCATGCAAGTCAACAATTCTTGATCGTAGGTCTTCTGAGAGCTCTTTTCTGCGAACATCAGACAGTGCTTCTTCAAACCAGTAAACCCAAAACGGGTGTATGTTTTTTAAGGGCAGGACAGCTGTCAGCAACACATCCAATATCATCACACTGATTGGAGTCAAGCTTGGCTCACTCCTGGCTCCAATTAGCTCTGGGAGAAGTCATTAAGCTAGGGCCTCACATACTTTTTCCTCCCTGCACTGTGAATGTTTACATGTTATGTGCAATTAAACCATGGCAACATCTAATGTTTGTGTAGTATTATGTTCAGCAGACTGTGTTCTTCTATTGTTGTGACTTAGATGACGTTCAGAGCACATTTTATGCCCAATTCATGCAAACTCCACGAACCCAAGGGGTTCACATACTTTTTCTTGCAACTGTATATATATGTTTATCTATCTCTCTCTCTATATATATATACCTTGTCATCTCCTCTTATGCCCTCCAGCTCCCTTGTTGCCTCCTCCCATGCTCGCCTCCAGGAATTCTCCAGAACCCCTCCCATCCTCTGGAACTCCCAACCCCAGTACATCTGTTCGCCCCCCACCCTATCCGCCTTTAGGTGATCTTTGAAAACTCACTTATTCAGGGAAGCCTACCCCACCTCCACCTAAGAACTGTACTTGAGTCACCTCCATCAGGTCATTCCCTGCAGCTGTCAGCTTCTGTACCATCTCCCCCTTCCTTTATATTGTAAGCTCCATGAGCAGGGCCCTCCTATTCCTTCTGTAATGAGTATTCTAATTGTACTGTCCCCCTGTATATTGTAAAGCACTGTGCAAACTATTGGTTCTGTATAAATCCTGTATAATTATTTATATATATATATATATACTGTAATTTTCGCTCCATAAGACACATTTTCCCCTCCACCCCAAAAATGGGGGAAAATGTCTGTGCGTCTTATGGAGCGAATATGGAGCGCCCGGCCTGGTATTCCCACCGCCGTGTTAGAATACTGGGCAGGCCGCTCATCTCTTCTGTGCAGCAGAACCTGCTCCTCGGTCCTACCTGTTCCTCGATACAGAGATGTCCCCCTCCCCTCACCCTGTACAGCCATTCATTGGGAAGATGAGTGTGCTGCTGTTTCTCTTCCCCCAGCTCTTATGCAGCTGAGAACAGAGAGTATGTAATCACTTATAAAGAGGTATTTATAACAGTTTTAATGTGTTGCTGTTCATTTCTATTTTAAACTGAATGGATTGTTTTACAAGATGAGAGTTTACAATCACTTTAACCTTTAAATGTATCAAAAAGTCCTTCAAGTGAAATGGACGTTTGTACACATCCTCTGTACACATCAGTGACTGTCCCAACAGGAAAGGAGGAATTGGAGTACATACCTCAATACTAACCAGGCAGCACTACTATGGGGCTTATTTACTAAAACTGGCGTGTACAAAATCTGGTGCAGCTCTGCACAGAAACCAATCATCTTCCAGGTTTTGTTGCCAAAGCCTAACTGAACAATCTCAAGTTAGAAGCTGATTGGCTACCATGCAGGTGCACCAGGTCTTGTACTCTACAGTTTTAGCAAATCAACCGCTATATATACAGAATATATATTATATCTTATACAACTTTTATATAACTAAAACATTTGTTGCATGAATGTCTGAATCATTTGTGCAAGCTGAGCAAAATGTCACTATAATTTTCATAAGGGATTAAAGTGTTACGAAAGTCTGACATTTTTTTTCAATTAGCATAACAAAAATGTTATATTCACTGGCTCTGTGCAGTGGTATTGCATAGACCGACCCTGATCCTCTTCTTCTCGAGTCCCCCGCCAGCGATCTTGGCTCCCCCTCTTCTTTGTGTGTCTCCATAGCAAGTTGTTTGCTATAGGGACACACACACTCCCGACTTGTGTGTTTATGGAGCCACGCTCCATAGACACACAGCAGGACTTAGCCCCACCCCCCCCCCACTTTCTCTTAAATATATTTGATTGACAGTAGCAAGAGCCAATGGCTCCTGTTGCTGTTGGAGTCCCTTTGTGAAGAGGAAGAGAGGGGAGAAGAGATGCAGTCATGCACAGATCTCTTTTCTGCTCTCTTCCCCTTCACAGGAAGGGGGAGCACAGACAAATAGAAAACATGTTTTACTTTAATGCAAGCAATGCATTAAGAAAAAAAATGTTTTTAGGTTTATTATCACTTTAATTCTTGGATCATTCATCTTGTGGCCATTATAGTTTTCACACTGAGGTATTTCAGAAAACTATATCACATTTTGGCCATTAGATGGATGACAAGACGACAACACAAGCATTTTTTTTCGCTCAAATTGAGCTTTCTTTTGGTGGCATTTGATCACCTGTACATTTTATATTTTTTGCGCTATAAACAAAAAAAAGGCCGATAATTTTGAAAAAAATTTTTTTTTACTTTTTGCTATAAAACATATCCAGTAAAAAATGTTAAAAATCTAATTTTGTCATAAATTTAGGCCAAAATGTATTCTTCCACATGTCTTTGCTAAAAGAAAAATCCCAATACATGTAAATTAATTGGTTTATGTGAAAGTTATAGCATCTACAAATGACGGTATATATACTGGAATGTTTATTTTTTTATACTAGTAATGGCGGCGATCAGTGACTTATAGCGGGACTGCATGACTGTGGTGGGTATTCTGACACTGGAGAGACATACTGCTGTGTATTTATCTTCTGTCCAGAGAAATACACAGCAGCATGTTATTGCTGGCAGCAGAGAGACCTGTGTTGTTTACACACAGGTCTCTCCCCTGTCAGTGATACTCGGCGATCGCCAGGTGCCGGCAGGGATATATACGTGATTTGCACAGCCCTGCCACCCTGTAGCAGTAGTTCTGCTACAGGGTGTCCGGGAAGCGGTTAATCTGTTACAAAAATTATTGTGACATTTCGTTCAGTTTCTTGGTATTCTTCTGACATTTGAGCAACAATTATTTTTCATAAATAGACCCCTTATTGTTTTAACTTGTAATTGTTCTGTTGTAATTGTATGTATTTCTTTATTTTGCAGATATTTCTGCTCAGATCATACCAAGTAAGAATACCTATAATGTAGTTTCTATAATATTTGATTTTACTACTTGTGCTCACGAATGTGTCTGAAAGAGAGCTCCATTCATCCAGAGAGATAGATGAAACCTTTCACAAGGGCATTAAAAAGACCCTGTCATAAAAAAAAAGTAAAATGAGCAGGCACACTTGCAAAGGAAGATGCTGCATTCTTTCCTAGTTCCGCAACCTGTGCTGCCACAACACTACTCCATAGAAGACCATGATAATCCTTACGCTTACACTTCTGGGAGTGTCAATATCCTTGGTTCCCAAAGTGCTCATCGGATCCTTCCACCAACCAACACCTCAAACAGGACACAGTAGTCAAGTGTTGGTCAGCGAGAGGAACTAGTGAGAGCCGCAGAGTGTATGAACAAAAAATGTACATCTTAAAATGTTACTAAACCAGGACCCTGCATTCAATATATCCGGTCTCCCACAGTACACAGAACATGGAAATGCAATTATTTTAGCAGTCATAAATAGAGATGAGCGAATCGAACCTGGCGAAGTGGAATTAGTTTCGAATATCAGGAAAAATTCGATTCGCATCGAATCCGAATTTTAGCAAACTTCGGGTGCACGAATCGAATTTTTCCCGATCAGCCGGCAAAAGTGTCACTGCAGAGAGCTCCGCTATTTCTGACAGTTCTGACAGTTCATTTACAGCGGTTGAAACATTGTATCTATTTGTTTCCATTTAGGATACAGATGTTTTTATTCGGAAATAAATAGATACAATGTTTCAACCGCTGTAAATGTGAAGGAACTGTCAGAGAACTGTCAGAAATAGCGGAGCTCTCTGCAGATACACTTTTTGCTGTACTGGAATACTTCTTCTTTTCATTCTTCTTCTTCTTTTCATTCTTCTTTTCATTCTTCTTCTTCTTCTTTTCATTCTTCTTCTTTTCATTCTTCTTTTCATTCTTCTTCTTCTTTTCATTCTTCTTCTTTTCATTCTTCTTCTTCTTCTTTTCATTCTTCTTTTCATTCTTCTTCTTCTTCTTTTCATTCTTCTTTTCATTCTTCTTCTTCTTCTTTTCATTCTTCTTTTCATTCTTCTTCTTCTTCTTCTTTTCATTCTTTTTCTTCTTCTTTTCATTCTTCTTCTTTTCATTCTTCTTTTTCATTCTTGTTCTTCTTCTTTTCATTCTTCTTCTTCTTCTTTTCATTCTTCTTTTCATTCTTCTTCTTCTTCTTTTCATTCTTCTTCTTCTTCTTTTCATTCTTCTTTTCATTCTTCTTCTTCTTCTTCTTTTTCATTCTTCTTCTTCTTCTTTTCATTCTTCTTCTTTTCATTCTTCTTTTCATTCTTCTTCTTCTTCTTTTCATTCTTCTTCTTTTTCTTTTCATTCTTCTTTTCATTCTTCTTCTTCTTCTTTTCATTCTTCTTTTCATTCTTCTCATTCTTCTTTTCATTCTTCTTTTCATTCTTCTTCTCATTCTTCTTTTCATTCTTCTTCTTCTTTTCATTCTTCTTTTCATTCTTCTCATTCTTCTTTTCATTCTTCTTTTCATTCTTTTTCTCATTCTTCTTTTCATTCTTCTTCTTCTTCTTTTCATTCTTCTTCTTCTTCTTTTCATTCTTCTTTTCATTCTTCTTCTTCTTCTTCTTCTTCTTTTCATTCTTCTTCTTCTTCTTTTCATTCTTCTTTTCATTCTTCTTCTTCTTCTTTTCATTCTTCTTCTTCTTCTTTTCATTCTTCTTTTCATTCTTCTTCTTCTTCTTTTCATTCTTCTTCTTCTTTTCGTTCTTCTTTTCATTCTTCTTCTTCTTCTTTTCATTCTTCTTCTTCTTCTTTTCATTCTTCTTTTCATTCTTCTTCTTCTTCTTTTCATTCTTCTTCTTCTTCTTTTCATTCTTCTTTTCATTCTTCTCATTCTTCTTTTCATTCTTCTTTTCATTCTTCTTCTTCTTCTTCTTTTCATTCTTCTTTTCATTCTTCTCATTCTTCTTTTCATTCTTCTTTTCATTCTTCTTCTCATTCTTCTTTTCATTCTTCTTCTTCTTCTTTTCATTCTTCTTCTTCTTTTCATTCTTATTCTTCTTCTTTTCATTCTTCTTTTCATTCTTCTTCTTCTTTTCATTCTTCTTCTTCTTCTTTTCATTCTTCTTTTCATTCTTCTTCTTCTTCTTTTCATTCTACTTCTTTTCATTCTTCTTCTTCTTCTTTTCATTCTTCTTTTCATTCCTCTTCTTCTTCTTCGTCGTGCCCCGTGACTGCCCAAATGAGTGAAGTGTGCGGTGATTCTAAGATCGACGGCACTCATCTGCATGTCATACTGACTGACAGTATTATTTCTCTTCCCCAGCAGACTCCAAGGGCATTTAAATTAAAGGTACAGTGTTCTGCACTAATATAAAGGCTCTCTGAAGCCTAGAAACCCTTTTAATAAGTTAAATTCGCGGCGAATAAATTTGCATCGAATCGAATTTCTCCCGCAAATTCGGCGAATCAGCCGAATCGAATTTTTGAATAATTCGCTCATCTCTAGTCATAAACTGCTAAATACGTTTTTCTCATCAGCAGTTAGAGCAGTCTTGTGACTTCTATCAGTGTCCAGCAGAGTACATGTTAAAGCTTGAAGGTGGAGTTTTCATTTTGCTCTAGGAGGATGCAGAACCCTGACCTCTGTCTGGACAGTGCTGATTGGCCCTGTGATGATCACATGCACTCTCCCAAAAAAAAAAACCTCTCTAGCACTACACACCAAACTGAGCATGAGCAGAGTGACTACACTCAATATGTCTTATCAGGAGATAAGAGGGGGGCACTGGAAGAAGGGAGGATCAGAGAAGACAGTATCAAACAGCGGTTTTACATAATGCAGAGGATTAACCCCTTAAGTTCCACAGTGAGAATAACAAGCATGCTTTACTGCATACACAGATTGATTTTACTGTTGTGGGCTTAGTAACACTTTATTTATGCCTGCTTTCTAGGGAATTACTGGTGCACAGGAAGGCTTCTGTGTGCCATGAAGCAAAGTGTGCTATGATTAGGGCCCATGCATACAAAAACTGAAACCAAGACTGAGGCTAGGTTCACATACATGCAGGTCAGGAATCCATGCATAATTGCCTGCGTTCCTGATCTGCACAAAAACGTGCTCCTCTTTAGTAAATAACAGGGTGCCACTCATTCTTAAAGGCACCTCCACGCATCAGCAAAATTCCCCTGTTGTCACAATGCTCCATGCAACGCATTTTTAAAAAAGATGCGGGGACTTCTTTCCTTGCATTTCTCATGGGTATAGCTGCCTATTTAAATGAATAAGTTGCTGTTTTCACGATGTGCACGCATGAACCTAGACTTAGAGCTGCGGGGAACCAAGGCGATTGGCGCTTTCAGAGGTGTTTGTTTCCCAGCGGGTTTCAATGGAGCATGTTATCTTGAATAGAGCAGAGTTGTGGCAGTGCAGGCTGCGTGAAGGTAAGTGGTCAGTCTTTTCCTTGGTTGGTATTATCTATCTATCTATCTATCTATCTATCTATCTATCTATTTATTTTGTTTATGCTTCATCTTTTTTAACATTTTCCCACAGTATCATTAACGTGTTAATATGATCTGTCATCCCACAGCTACAACAAGCACAACTACTGAAACAACAGGTCAGTAAACACTGTAATCTCTAAAACATATCTGCATCTATCTAAAGTAACTGTTTACCTATCTATCTATCTATCTATCTATCTATCTATCTTACGTAGCGCTACTCCCGCCACTGGTTATGATGAGTCCTCTGTTCTCACCTTGACCTTGATAAAGACCTCAGTACCACTGACTCCTCTGGTATGCACAACAATAGGTAGAGATGAACAGCTTTTGTTAATACCTTGGAGTCTCCCTGAAATTACACCTGAGACCTTGTGGTAAACTAACAAAGTATATTGTTAAATAATGTTCAGACAAGCAAAATACAACAGTGAGGGTCTCTTTTCAGAATATGATATATTAGGATGTTACTTGATATGGTTAGAGTGCTACCTTAAGTTCATATCAAACCAGCATAAACCATAGCTCTTCTCACTAAATGAACAGCATAAGGTAACAATAGACTGGTGCCAATGCAGATCAGGGCTACGTTGCCTATGGGCACTTGGGTTGAGAGAGCTAAGCCCAGGCCTTCTTGAAAGAACTAATCGATTAATAGTCCATTTAACAGCTCCTAAATACTTGTAGAATCAAGCTTCCTTGTTCACATGGGGGGGGGGTCCCCTTTAAGTTGGTATTGGATCTCAGGTGGCTTCCAACAACTCTCTGAAAAGTGGTGGATTTTGGTGAACCTAATGGAACGCTGTGTAGCAGCAGCAGTGGTCAGCTGGACTGGGTTTGGCACTCTGGTTCCTCTGGCGGCAACAGCGATAGACCTCAGTGCAAAGATTTTCTGTAGCAGGAAACCACTTTGTCTCTGTCTCAGTCCAGTAGCCTGCAGCTGATCTCTCCACTCTACAGGACGTGTAGGTCCCGAAGCCAGTGCAGAACAAAGTAATCCAGACTCCCCGGCTCTCTCTCTCTAATACATTGTGACGGGAGTCACTTTGGGTGGGGGGCCCATAGAACACAGCTCACTTTGGAGAAGTGAGGAGACCCCATCTCAGCTCCCCATATCCCTCTTATGTGTAAGTCACCCTATGCCTATTAGGGGTGCAGGTTGAAATGTCCTGATATTTTGTAGACATACATAGGTGGGGGTTGTTCATTGTTTAATGCCATGTGGTTGTATCCCATTGTTCTATTGTGTGTCTTACTTGGGAGAAAACTATTATGGGACCTATGTGTTTGTGTATTGGCTTGGTGGGGGGTGTTTCCAGCAGCCCTTCCCCCTGATGGGACTTCCTGTTGATGTGTTTCTTGTTACTGGGTGTGTATTGCCCCACCCTGTGTCTATATCTTGTCTCTGTGTTAAAATAAAGGAGTCTATTTCCTGGTTTCCTTCAAGTCTGGTGGTCTCTAGTCTTGTAGGGTCAGCGGTGGGGTCTGTGGTTGGTGTTCGGACAGGGAAGCGGGAGTCTAACGGAAATACCCTACTGCAGTTGGGGTTCGGTTCCATTACACACATGACCTTCCTTTTTTCTCACTCCGGAAGTTCACCATAATAATGCATTGTAAAAGCCTGAACATTCTAATAACAGTGGTTCTGGTTACACTTATGAAACAAGAGGTCATTAAACTGAAGTTACCAAATTTTCAAAATTTAAATCTGAGAGAACCCTACTTAACACACCCACAAAGCCATGCCCAATTTGTTAAACTGGCAAAAAGATGGCCAGATGTGAAATATTGAGGTGTAGGGTGCACCAAAAATTGTAGGTGCAGCCAAATTGCTGTTACAGTGGGCAGAGCTTAAATGGTTAAATGGTAAATTAAACCTGAGCCTATGCTGATATGGGTCAAGAATGTGTAAAACATAGACATTCAGAGATCAGGATTAAGTAATGCAGTGTTCAGGAGTCAAGATCAGGTTACGCACTAAGTTCAAAGATCAGAATGAAGTAGCACACAGAGTTCAAGGGTTAGCATTAAGTAACGCACAGGGTCAGGATTAAGCAAGACAAAGAACAGACAGGAAGAAGTACACAGAAGGGCAGCACATGGCAAAAAACAACAAACAAAAATTCCCAGCTCACATACCAGCCAGCCTGCAACAAACCGAATGACCCTGTCGAACAAGTCGCCTTAAAACCATATGTTTAGTTTTGCACACATTTGCAAATATATGCATAAGCTGCAGAGCCCACTTCACTGCACCCCAGTATATCTGCAGCCCTAACGCTATACATTTTGAGAGTCTCCAAAGTTGGAATACATATATAAATGCATAGATTAAGGGCAGGTATGCCTGGAGGGAGCCCACCCCTCCTTGAAGGCGTAGGAACGCACTGGACACACAAAAATAGCACAATGGTAGGGAAGGCATACAGTGCTTCCCCTCACTAATTTACCAACAGTACAGACAAATAGTAACCACCCCAATCTATAACTGGTCTTTGCAGCAAGGAGCACATGGAAGAGAAATGCATGTAAAAAAAACAACAAACAAAAATCCCCCAACTCACTTACCAGCCAGTCTGAAACAAACTGAATTACTCTGTCTAAGCTAAGTTAAAACAAGGGGTTTAGTTTGGACACATTTGCAAATATATGCATAAGCTGCAGAAGCCACTTTATGGCATCCCAGTATATCTGGGGTGCTGTGAAGAGGCCTCTGCAGCTTACACATATATTTGCAAATGTGTGCAAAGTAAATCCTTTGTTTTAATGTGAACTGTTAGGGTAATTTGGTTTGTTGCAGGCTGGCTGGTAAGTGAGCTGAGAATTTTTTTGTTTGTTGTTTTAAGTATCGCACAGAGTTCTAAGGTCAGGATGTAGTAACAGTGTCCAGATAAGTAATGCATAAAGTCCAAGGTTCAGGATGAAGTAACACACAGAGTTTTGGGGGTCAGGATTAAGTAACACAGAGTTCAGGGGTCATGATTTCATAACACATAGAGTTCAGGGCTCAGGATTAGGTAACACACAAATAAAGGGGTCAGGATTAAGTAACACATAGAGTTCAGGGGTCATGATTTCATAACACATAGAGTTCAGGGCTCAGGATTAGGTAACACACAGAATAAAGGGGTCAGAATTAAGTAACGCATAGAGTTCAGGGGTCATGATTTCATAACACATAGAGTTCAGGGCTCACGATTAGGTAACACACAGAATAAAGGGGTCAGGATTAACTAACGCATAGAGTTCAGGGGTCATGATTTCATAACACACAGAGTTTAGGGCTCAGGATTATGTAACACACAGAACAAAGGGGTCAGCATTAAGTAACACACAGAGTTCAGGGCACAGGATTAGGTAACTCACAAAGTTCACAGGTCAGAATTAAGTAGTGCACAGAGCTCAGGGGTCAGGATCTATCTGATCTATCTATCTATCTATCTATCTATCTATCTATCCACCTTTTTAAGCATCTTCTTAGCATTTTTTAAGCAGTATCATCAATTGCCATGTTTGATTTATTATCCCACAGTTACAACAATCTCATCCACTTCTGAAACAACAGGTCAGTATCTACAGAATCTGATCGATCTATCTATCTATCTATCTATCTATCTATCTATCTATCTATCTATCTTAATTTTTACATAGTATCATTTACTTTTACATCTGATTTATCAGTACTTTTATATCCCACAAGTACAATAACCCCAATTACTTGTTGGTGAACAGAATGGGGATTATTTACTAAAGCTGGAGAGTGCAAAATCAGGCTCACTTCTGCATAGCAACCAATCAGCTTCCAGGTTGTTGCCAAAGCTTAATTGAACAAGCTGAGGTTAGAAGCTGATTGGTTTCTATGTATAAATGAGCCTGATTTTGCACTCTTCAAATTAAACCTCACAGATCGAGTGATCTATCTATCTAACTTTTTTTTCTGCATTTTCTGAACATTTTTACACAATATCACTGATTTCTTTATCCGATTTCTAATCCTATACTTACAACAAATCTAACTACTTCTGAAACACCAGGTCAGTAAGCACAGTGATCTATAAAACATTGCATCTATCTGCTATTATTTATCTCTCTGTCTGCTTTTTCTGCATCATATTAACATTTTTTTACATAGAATAATTTACTTCTATATCTGATTTATAACCCACAGTTACGAGTCCAACTACTTCTGCAACAAGTAAGTAAACACAGTGGGGATGATTTGCTAAAACTGGAGAGTGTTAAATCTGGTGCAGCTGTGTATGGTAGCCAATCAGCTTTTAACTTCAGCTTTGACAATAAAATCTGGAAGCTGAT